TGCAACAGGCGCAAGAGAAGCTTCAGAAGTGCGGAGCCTGATAGCAGATTAAACACAGTAATGCGCGCGTTTCTCTTCTTGGTTCGTCTACGTTTCTATGATGTCATATATTAGGCGTGCTATAAGTTGTCTTTTCCTATCCCGGACGTTATGTACGGCATGCACCTTATATGGCACCCTTACACGGGCCAGTTATGTATCCGCTTCGTCGCCTGGAATGCGTCGTGAATGTGTTACGTACCAGTGACTGCTGAGTGCCCCGGGTATTTTTCCAGGTTCCACTACTAAAACAGGCGCGCGTAGATGAGCGCGGGGGATGGCATCCCCACGTATTAAGCGTGGGGATGGCGCGCACCGCTCTTACACTCACCCCCCCCTACTTTCGGAGGAAAATGGTGGGTTCAAATTTTCTGGGGGATGACCGCTACCCCGGCCTTGTTTCTTGCACCATCCGCCTGAAAACCTGCATTGAGCACTGTCGAGCCGTAACAATTGAAGTAACCCCACGCAAAATTTGTTACGCGGTTGCGCCTGTAGAGATACTGCTACAAAGATTATGATTATGGAATATTTGTAATGCATATCAAAGTTCAAATTTGGTTCTCTGACAGAGGCGTAGATAGCGGGGAGGAGTGGGGTATATCCCCCCCTTCCGGGCTTTTCATCGCCACCTTCTCAGAAAAAAAATATGGCACGGGAAACAATTTAATATTTTACAGACAATAAATACTGGATATTTATCTACAAATCCGTCATCGCTATTCATACTCTCCTAACGTATTATTACAGAAATGGAACGTGACATACATCTACTGTAAAATGGCTGTAACTCGTTCCAAGAATGACATTATTTTACTGAAACTCAGACGGTTAATTTTAAACGCATTCCCCATATACGAAAATCCCGAAAGTCTTATCACTGCTCACGAAAGTTAAATTCTTGCTTTATTCAAAATTAGAATAGACCTATTGAGAGTTGGGATATTGAATTTTCACGGGGATTAAATGGGAAAATTCAATTTCATCTCACTTTTTTTGGGGGGATGGGGGTGCTGAGACCAGAACGGAAGTATATTCCCGATTCTGTATAAGGAGTGAAAATATGCACTTTTTGGTTCAAATCTGGTTGTTTTTCTCATATTTTTTGCAGTTTTAACGTTCTCAGTAAAATATACGTTTTATCAAAATTTCATGGGCAGATGATTCCAGTGATGTAGTTGTCAACGGGGGAGTATTTTCTGGACCAGCCTATATTTAAATAACAAGAGCGATCAACGATTTGCGTGCTAAAACGACCAAGTTTTATTGCATGCCTTATCTGTATCCTGTGTGTGAGTGATGTGTGTGTGTGGAAGGATTAGATCAGCTACTAGCCGGGTAGTTTGCTTTGTCTGGCTTAATTCTTTTCTAGATTAATTGCATATTAGAACATTTAATATAACATTAGAATATTTAAATAACTACATCTACTATTTGTTTGCTGAGCCTCAACCCTCGTCTGTTGGCCTCTGCCCGCACCCCCCGACCACCCCCTCGACACACCCCAACCGTATCAGATAAATTGCCCGTGAGATAAATTGGTGACCCGTCAGTTTCACTGTGCAGGTCTTTTTCGACCAATACCGTCATGCGGGTCACGCGAAACGTCACAAGTGACATCACATCACAACAAACCAAACATGAACATGTTTCATGAGAGTTTGCTGCCAGCACACACGCATTTCTTACTTAGAACGTAAAGAATTCCAAAAGTATCGACACAGGCACGCGATAGTTGCGCCATCTCCTGGCTGGAGCGAAATTAAACATATATTTAGGCACAGCAATAGATATCATATATCACATAACTATCATATATATATATATATATACATAGTATACATATGATAATTATATGATATCTATATGGCTTTGCCTGAAATACATGTTTAATTCGACCTGAACGTTAATGTAAACGTAATGTTTAATAACGACCTGAAAAACTGTTCACTACGTGCTTTGATTGTTAGAAAATCATAAATCTCTATTTGCTATATAATTTTGGTAATTGTTTATACAATTTGTTTGAATAATATAATTAAGAGAATTATTTAAACCATCAGCTGCTGCATATAATGTGCATGTGAAACTGGGCAGTATCTATATATCATCTGCCCATGGAAGTATGCCCTGGTTCCTGGATTATACCACTCTGAAAACAGAGGTTACTCATTTTTGATCTCTCGTAGTTGACACGAGAAATCTTAAACACAGGTTTTGAGTAATTTTGCATTGATACTGAACAGTATAATATACGGTACCATATTGGAATAATGAGATTTCCATTTGTAGAATTTTTTGACAGATATTATTGGGTGATTATTTTGTTTTTTATAATTATTACATTGCGTTCAGTGTTTGCATTGCTTTAGACGTGCCTTAGTAGTTGTGCTACTAAGCTAATAGACTTACTATTACTAAGTGGGTTTGTCCTCCTTTCGCTGATGTTAGCTGGTAAACTCAGGAGATACATCGCATTATACTGTAGTGCTGAGACAAGTCAGAGTCAGCAATTATAAACCAATTTATCAAACTTATATGTTTTAGTGGAGTAGAGCGTGTCAGCCAGTGTGGCCATATAATCAGGATCGCTTATAAAATATGCGAAGGTGACACATTAATGCAACGCTTTGCCAATTCATTAAGCTCCTGATCAATATGGCAGCTAAATATATTGTTTAAATGTATCTTAAATGATCTGCATGTACTTGTACTTTGCCTTTGTGTGATGACGTGATTTTTTTATACAACTGGTTAGACTGTCGGCTTCCCACCTAAGTGAAAGTATTCTGACGGGAATCTGCTATAGTTTAAGAATAGATTGATCCAAGGGTATAAAGAAGTTCTTTCTTTATACGCTCTTGATCTGATGTTATCCTAAAGACTTTGGAAAGCCTTTAGAGTTTTCTCTGTGGTTTGATTAGTAATCAAAATGTTAGGAACAGTGCAATTTTAGTAAATGTGTTGGAAAGAATATCGCTTTATCTCGGTTCCAGTTAGATCATTCAATTTGGATATTTTACTTTGCAACGGATGTTAGCTGTACTGGCAGTCCTGGTTGTCTACAGAAAAAGTCGTCATTAGTTACAAATAATTAGTAATACGATAGTCTAGAAACCGTGACAACTTTACGAAATTACGTTCAGGCAATATATGTATTAACGCTGCAGCTCTCTTTGGAAGCATTCGGCCTTATACTGGTGCAGTGATTTTCTATGATCCTCGTATATCGTCTAAGTTCCTAATTCTGTACTGAATCTGTTAGCAACCCGTGAGCGTTAGATTCCAATGCAACTTTGCCCGAGCACTACTTCGAGATAATGATAATAATATAAAATAGAAAAATAATATAATTATAAGTAGTATTCAGTCATTTTGCTTCCCTACGCATTGTAGTATATTTACGTGAAAAAAGTGTGGTGCAGTTTTGTTAAACAGTATTATATTATGTATGTGTATATAAATATAACTGTTGTAGTGTGTAGCAGGTGAAGGCAATGGCGTCAAACGTTTTCTTTTCTTTGAGCATGCCAGCACCCTGTAAGCACGAGTAAATACTTCCTTTATTGCAAGTGTCTCTTAGCTTAATAGCAGGAACTTCTCATACGTCGAGTACCTTCTCAGGTACGCGGCTAGATTTTAATCCGTTCACGTCTTCCAGTGTGATTCCAAAATAATATGGCGATGTAATGAAAAATAGCTCGCTACAGTCAGTATTTGTGTATGGTATTAACAACTATTGGACTTTATTATTTTGATTTCATATTAAAGAACCTATTTTTAATCAAAATCCATATACGGCTAAACGCTTGTTTTTGTGTGTGTGCTTTTTCATTATCTTCCTAGGCTATCTCATTTAAATTAAAGTATAATATTGCAAAGTAACAACAAGCAATTTAGGTCTGAAAGGTCGTTCACGTATGACATATACATATACACATGACATGCGCAGTACTGTGGAACCAATCAACGAATATAGATTATGCTCATTGAATATCGATTATGCTCATTGAATATCGATTATGATATTCTAGCCAGATATCTTTTGTCTGCGCCTATAATCATGGCAACAGGCCGACGTCGTTAGTCAACCTTTGCCTACCGCATGATTCTGTAAATTAATAGTCTCGTTCGTAATTATTGATATGTTGTGGTAACAATAACGGTAACTTACAGTACACAGACTACGGTATAAAACAGAACTAAGAACTGACGGTAAACACATCCATAGAACTAGCATCCGCCTAAATAATTCGGAATAATTCGTGTGCTTAGCGTTTATAATAAGCGAGTGAATTAGTCGATCCTTCGAAGTTTCATGCTCGTTGTCATCATGAGTGTGTGTGGACCTCTCCATGGTACCACGGAGCCCTGTGAACGAGCAAATGACAAATAGTGTGTTTGAACGCGCCTAGCAATTCACAACATGACGTTCACAGCATGAATGCTCACGCGCACGCACGCAGACACACAAATGCAAACACGCACACACATACATACAAACACACACACACACACACACACACACACACACACACACACACACACACAACACAAACACGCCGGCGCGCACACATACGCACGCAGACGCACACACGCACGCCACACGCCACACACCACACACACACACACACACACACACACACACACACACACACACACACACACACACACACACACACACACACACAAACACAGAGAGAGAGAGAGACGCAATTTCATACCACAACATATGGTATGATGCAAACAAATGGCGAGCCGCAATAGTTAGCTGGTCATGACCGCTGATCCCCTCAGTGAAACCCTTCTCTCAGCCGCCCGGTGGTCGCGACCCCAATATGAGAGAAGACACCTAGAGTAGCATAGATATAGAATAGAAGATATTTCTGTATTCTATATCTATGTGTCTAGTTATCATCTAGCATAAGCGTCTGTGCATCCGCAACAGGCAGTAAAAGCGAGCGCATCTGCGTCTCCTATACGTGGTTCTTCACCTGACCGGGGTTGCTGTTGTCGTACTCGCCGTTCAGATTAGCAAAGTAACAGCCTTTGTACCACCAAGCTCCGAGGTACTTCTGCGCGCAGTGCGTCGAATGTTCGTCGTTATCCTGATCTCTTGTGCTGAATTTCTGCCCGCTGTGATATGACATCGCATCGTCTATACGGAGACGAGGAACGCATAACATTTACGAATATTCACTGATCAACGTACTGATCAACGTACTGATCAACGTAAAATCAACGGCTTAGCATATAGTGTGGCTTGTTACCGATGAACAGTGCGCATGCGCATGCATGGTCGCGAACGTAGAAATCTATCAGCGACAGTCTATCTAGTATATTATTTCTATTGTGGTGACGAGAAATGATTGTGAAAGGGTCGTGAAAGGGGATGTGAATCGTGAATCATTGTGAAAGGGGTCGTGAATCGTGAATGAATCGTCCTCTCGGGAGGAACGGAAAAGGAATCCTGCGAGAGTGGGAAGGGGTGCGTGCAGAGCTCGCTCGGATTTTACAGGTTCCGCATGAATCTACGCTCAGCAGTTATTCTGGGGACGCGTGCGCCGGTATACGCTGGAAACTCAACTCTGCATGATTACTCCGCAAATAATAGTGGGTGATATATAGTAACTGGTTTGTTACACCAGAGCGTATGTGTAATATAATTTAGGATTAGATAGCATTTCTGGATTAAGTGGTTCACATATGCCACACTTCTGTATAGATTCCTATACATAAAATATCGCCTATAATTATTCAATACGTAGCAGGCAAATTGAGTTGTGTTGGATGTTTTTTTTGCTTAGAGAGCCTTACTTGCGTTTCCACGGTAGGAGCCTAGTGTAAGCCTGTATTTGCTGGCTTCGGTGTCCACGTGAAACTTGTCGTAAACGGCAAACCTCTTGTTTCCGTCCTGGTCCTCGACATCCACGCGCAGTTCAGATGGCGCCATTGTCGTGAGAAGATGTATGTTGTCGAGCCCTGTACAAATTGCACTTACTACTCAGAGATTTTATGCACAACTATAGTATAGCAGTCAATATGCGTATGTGTGTTAGCCACGGACATATTTCATGTGGGGAATGTGATAGGGAATGCATATATACGAGAGGCGTACATGGAGATAGATCTCGGTCGAGACAGCCTGTAACTGCAATGTAAAATCGGTTCTTCATTCCTTCGAGATGTAATGTCGAGTAGACGGATTATGGCCTCATCTATGCGTGGGAGTTTAACCATAGACCTACAATATTGTTAGTCTATGGTATACCTTAAGTTATTTATATACACGATAAAAAAAACTTCGGGTTTCTCGAACGTAGCCCTAATAAAACCTGGTTAATTGGGACCAAATTGAAACTAGGGCTTTTAAAATCTGGTTAATTGATACCACATTTTTTCGCGCAGCTATTAGGTCAACTGGCGCTAGAAATCGCGCATGCCGTGCTGGATCCCAGCTTCCCCCAATATACGAAGCATTGATCAGCATCTTTATGGGTAATTCTGCCAGCTGTCGGTGCATAAGCTATGGCTATGATCCTACCTAGCCAAAACTCTCCATCCAGATTGCCAAATCCTTCCTTGTAGGACGCCCAGACGCGATAAAAGTTGACCGATCCGTTAAAACGATGCTGGAACACCTGTTTGTGCGGAAATATACAGGTTACGTGTATATACTCATCTTCTAGTATACATTGAATGTACGGAGGGATTCCAATGTGAAATGTCTCTGATATTTACAGGTTACGTGTATATATACTCATCTTCTAGTATACATAGAATGTACGGAGGGATTCCAATGTTAAATGCCTCTGATATTTACAGGTTACGTGTATATATACTCATCTTCTAGTATACATAGAATGTACGGAGGGATTCCAATGTTAAATGCCTCTGATATTCATAGTTTCTAAGCATAGTTCTGGCAGTCATACGCCGCCTAGCGGACAAGCATAACCTTATTCGTGATGTATGTACACGTTTTTCACACAGGATTGTAAATCGCACTTGTTTCCCGTTGGATTGTACACTGGCATTGACTATAAGGCTCGCTATAGGCACATCTGCACCAGTGATAGCGCGAACAATATAGTCTCTTTCTCTGCTAAATCGGCGCGCTGGTGTGGTGCCGCGCTGGGTTTCTTTATAGTTTACAGGCTTACATCGGCGAACGCAGACATTTGTACGTGCATCATAGTTAAATGTCTCAGGAGTGAATATAATAATAGAATCTATTATTTCATAGTCTCTAATCTTAATTATTCATTTCTGATGTCATGTATAGTGGTGCGCACGCGTACAGTGATGTAGATACTCACGTCCAGCCTCCTGCTCGGTGTCCATGTCGCAGTAGACGTCTAACAGCATCGCTGCTGTCGGCATCACCGCGTAGAACGCCGCTACGTCGCTCACGCGCGTATGTACAGCTCGTACAATCCCGCACTGGCGGTAACGTCGTCGGCGGCTGCGTCGTCGTCGGCTGCGTCGTCCGTCGGACTGCTTGCGTCGTCGTCGGCTGGCTTGCGTGCGCTCGTCGTGGCTGCTCGTCGTGTCCTTGCGTGTCGTCGCGCTGCTGCGGTCGTCGCTCGGCTGCTGCTTCGTCGGCTGCTGCGGTCGTTCGTCGGCTGCTGCGGTCGTCGCCTGCTTGCGTCTCGGTCGGCTCGCTCGCTGCGCTGCCGCGGCGGTTGCATGCTAGGTTTACAATATATATACTATATTACTATAATTATATATATTTATATATATATATATAGATTATATATTAATTATAGTATAATTATCATATATACTATATATAAATTTATATAATATCTATTATATAGTATATCTATATTATGATATATATAATACTATACATAGATACTACATAAGCAATACATACAATGATAATAGCATACATACATAACATAGCATACATACATAATACAGCATACATGATACATACTACATACATACATACATGCATCAGTACATCATACATATCAAACATACTACATCTACATACATAATTACATACCATACTACATACATCATTTAGCACATACATCTAGCATACATACATACATACATACATACATACAATACATACATAAGTACATACATACATACATCTACATAATAACAACACACAACGAACGCCGCACGCCCGCACGCACGCACCGTGCACGCACGCACACACACAACATGAAATATCGATTATATAATATATATATACTATTATATATATATATATATACTATATATGATATATTACATATATAGGGCGGAGCTACTGCTCTGTGTGTATGATTTATAGAATATCGCCATTCAGGTTTAATTTTGGTTCGATTGAATTATCGCTAGCTGCTGCACCACAACAACTGAGGTTTAGCATGGGAGGAACGCGGGTGTGCAGTTAGCCAATAACGCGTCCATTGTAAATGATCTAAATATAACATGTATGTAAAGAATATCAAGGTGTAAAACTGATATTTAACGGTGTAGCCGTTAATAGCATGGGTATAATTGGCGCTTAGTGTGCGCCAAATGGTATGTCTTTCTAAACAAGGTCAGATCTCGTTTCTGGGAGAGCGTCATTCATTCAGTGTTTCGGCACACTGCACTAATCTGCTATGTAGATAGTGTGTTAGCGAAAGAGGGAACAAGAGTCGTGAAGGCCAAGGACACGCACAAAAGGCTTTACAATTGATCGTTGATAATGATAAATAGGAAAGCTTTGAAACAAAATCACTAATTTTAAAACTTGTGCTTTCAGTGCAATGGTATGAGCACCTTTTTTACCAGACATATTTCGTACATTAAAAGTTAAGACGCTAGAGGAGGAACCAGGGCCAGAGCTATCTAAGAACTTATTTCCGCCGATACCCACACTATACCTTTTGGCTCTAGTGATTGCAGAGTGCGCCCCCACTCGCCCCAGATTTGCTTCTGCGATTTCTTGCGACGTCTGTAGTTAGCGGAAGGTGGCGCCTATTTCGTGCGTTGCTTACCGACTGTTTGCCGGTCATTCCTGGGTATTACGTCAGCAATTACGGCACTTGACAATGGTCAAAAGAACGCGTATGTCATAATAAGCGAGGAACGTGGAGAATCTCGCTTAGTTAGAAAGATGTAGTACGGCATGCGGCTCCAGACTAATGTAAACGAGTAATTAGCAGTGGTTCCGCGCTTAACTGGGCAGATGAACAATAATATGTATAATATTATTATTATGATTGTTATGTATAATTATTATTATATCTGGCTCTGTGCACATGGTCATGGCTGGTGACAGCGGTCCATTGCTGATATTTAGCTCATGAACTGTGAATTTGCGTCATGATACTGTGATCTGCGTCATGACTGTGATCTGCGTCATGACTGTGGATCAAGCGTCATGGCTGTGCATCTGGCGTCATGACTGTGATCTGGCATCATGGCTTGATTGATCTGACTCTGACTGCATCTCAGCATGACTGTGATCACGCAGTCATGGCACTGTGCCTCCTGCGCTCACTGCGTGACCAGACGCATTGGCTCGTATTCAGAGTCATCGACTGGTGATCGGTCATTCATGACTGTGATCGCGTTCATGGCCTGTGATCTGCGTCATGACTGTGATCTGCGTCATGACAGTGCTCTGCGTCAATGATATTACGTCGCGGTCTGCAGCCGATACATCATCATTCCATTGTGTGTGTGCGTTGTGTGGTGTGTGTTGTGTGTGCGTGCGTGCGTGGTGCGTGCCGTGTGTGTGTGTGTGTGTGTCGTAGTGCGTGGTGCTGTGCGGGCGTGCGTGCGTGCGTGCGTCCGGCGTGCGTGCGTGCGTGCGTGTGTGTTGTCACTGTGCTGTCGGTGGCGCGGGCGTGCGTGGCGTGCGTGCTGTGCGTGCCGTAGCGTGCGTTGGCGTGCGTGCCATGCGTGGTGCGTCGTGGGCGACGCGCGTGTGTATGTCTTGAATTTATCAGACTGTGTAACTTGACATGCTAAATACTGATGCAGAGCCGCTAGTTGCTATAACGGCGAATCGCAATCGACTCCATTGCGCCTAAGCGTTCGGATTACATATTTCAATTCTGACCTGATCAACAACTCGACTCGCCACGCAAGGCTCACTCGTGTAGACATCTCACAACCCCACCCCGGCCGATGGGGCCTCCGCCTCGTCGTATTCGGGCCGGGGTTGCTGTATGTGGTAGTGGTAGTGGTAGTGGAGTGTAGTGGTAGTGGTAGTTGTAAGTGATAGTGGTAAACTGTGCGACTTGGACTCATGCAACAGGCGAAGAGAAGCTTCAGAAGTGCGCGAGCCATGAATAGCAGATTACCAGAATTGCGGCGCGTCTCTCTTGGTTCGTCTACGTTTCTATTGATGTCTTATAATGGCGATGTATAAGTATGATCTTCTATCCCCGGATGTACTGTAAACTGCATTGCCACGCCTTTTAGAAATATACGACGGAATCCTCCGGCCAGTTATGTATCCGCTTACGTGCCTGGAATGCCCGTGCATGGTGATGTGTTTAGCTCCAGTGGCCTCAGGATTGCCCCGGTATTTCTCCAGGCAATTCTATACTTTAAAGTTTAAAGTGTGGAGCGTAGATAGGACGAGGGATGGGGGGATGCGATCCCAACTCTCTGACGTGGGGGGATGGGTGTATCAATCATTCCCC